ACAGGCTGGTGTGCTTCTTCCATGTGGGCTTTGTTGCTTCTGAGCTGGATGGCTGCTTGTTTACCTTCAAGCCTTTAAGACCCCAGCTGCTATATCTTTTTGATAGCCTGGCACCATCAGCTTTCTTCCCATTTGCTTATGCACCCATTTGTCTTCAGCGATCTTATTGGGGAGGTGAGCACACAATGATATGATTTTTTTTTTCTTTAATGCCTGATAACTGATCCCTTCGGCACCTCGTGATCACACAGGCTACCACCACATCTATCTTAGAGCATTCCCTCTCCCCCAATTTAAAGGCACTGAATTGCCTTTAAAATGAATTGTGCAATCACAATCAGTTCTAGTGATCCCTCCCACCCCCCTGCTTTCATTACTGTCCCTGCACTTTCCTTTCCCTCCTGTCTCTTCTCTCTCACCCCTGCATTCCCTATAGCACTCTGCATCAGTCATTATCACTATATAAGGTGGAAATCTAGATTTCTATGTGAAAGAGTATGATTTTTAACTATTAGAAAGTAACTAAAATGTTAAGCAAATCAAAAATACATCTACAGGCCACTTGTTTTCAGTTCTTCATTGTAGAACACTGTTGTCCAAATCTGTTTCAGGATCAGCAGCTACCATGTCAAACGTTACATGGACTGATGATGAACTTAAAAAAAATAAAAAATAAGGAGTTTTTTTCTCACAAAGCTAATTCTATCTTGTATAAAGTCTACTCCCCCCCTAAGATTATGTATCCAGATATTTTATGATAAGGTATACTTGCTTTATCCTTATATTTTGTGATAAAATATCGTTCTTTTATCTTTGCATTTATGTTAAACTATCCCTGATTTCATGAAACAATGGTATTGTTTCTAAGATCTAAACTAGGCAAATTAAAAGTGTTTGACTTTATAATAGTCTTTTTTTCTATTTTGTTTTATCTTGTTTGGCATTGAAATCCAAGAGACCGGATACTACTGCTAACCCCACAAGCAAACAGACAGACAGACAAACACATTGCCATGGGGTTGATTCCAACTTATAGCAACTGTACCAAAGCTCAGCATATCATATAGTATCATATCATATCATCATATCATATCGTATCATAGCACAGGATACTATGTTGTATCATATCATAGCATAGCACAGTGTATCGTATCGTATATCATATCATATTGTATCATAGCATAGCACAGCGTATCATATCGTACCATATCATAGCATAGCATAGCACAGCATACCACACCGTAGCTTATCATAGAACAGCATACTGTGTTGTATCGTATCATAGCATAGCACAGTGTATAGTATCATATCATATCATATCATATCATATCATAGCATAGCATAGCATAGTGCAGCATATCGTATTGTACCATATCATATCGTAGCATAGCACAGCACACCGTGTTGTATCATATCATATCATATCATCATATCACATCATATAATATCACAGCACAGCATATATCGTATCATAGCATATCATATCGTACCATAGCACAGCATATCATATCATACCGTATCACAGCACAGCATATCATATCGTATCGGAGCACAGCACAGCATATCATATCATGCCGTATCACAGCACAGCACAGCATAGTAGAGCTACTTCCCAGGGTCTCTCAGGTTGTACATCTTTACAGGAGCAGATAGCTTTATCTTTCTCTCAAGCAGCAACTGGTGGATTCCACGTGCTGCCCTTCCAGTTAGAAGCCGATGCATAACCACTGCTAAACCATGACTGCCAAAACAATGGCAATTCACTGAAGGTTTATAAGCCCTCCTTTTGTTGGAACAATGCTAGACCCTAGAAATGATGTGGAGGGTGCATTGGTTGGGAAGAGGTTAGAGTCTAAAGCATGCCACCATCATAGAATACGAGAACCCAGGGAAACTTTTGCCTCATTCTTTAACTTTAATGATTGATAACATGAAGGCAAGAAAAGGAAGTGAATTATCTATGGCCACCTAAGAACTTAGTAGTGGAATCATAGCTACAATCTAGTGTTTTCAACTTCAGGTGTTTTTTAAGTTGTCCCAGTGCTGCCTACATCAGCCAGATGGCACCCGGAGGCACTGCTTTGTCTAATTGGTGCTAAAGTCTTGTTGTTGGGTGCCATCGAGTCTTTTCTGACGCTTAGTGACACCTTATGCACAACAGAGGGAAACACTGCCTGGTCTGGCACCATCCTCATGATTCTTCCTGTGCTTGAGCCCATTGTTGCCACCACTGTGTTGGTTCATCTTGTTGAGACTTCTCCTCCTTTTTGCTGTCCTTTGACTCGACCAAACATGATGTCTTTCTCCAGGGGCTGGTCCCTCCTGACATGTTCAAAGATAGTGAGATGAGGTGTCACTATCCTTGCCCTCTAAGGGGCATTCTGGCTGTACTTCTTCCAAGACAAATTTGTTTGTTCCTTTGGCAGTTCATGGAACTTTCAATGTTCTTCACCAGTACCACAATTCAAATGCATAGATTCTTCTTCAGTTTTCCTTATTCAATGACCTACTTTCGTATGCATATGAAGTCATTGAACGTACGATGGCTTCGGTCAGATTAGCCCTCAAACAAATTCTCCCTGCTTTTCAATACTCTAGAGGTCTTGTGCAGATTTACCTAATGCAACCCATTTATGGTCTCATCACTACTGCTTCCATGAGCCTTGCTTGTGGATCCCAACAAAACAAAATCCTTGACCAATTCAATAGTCTCTTCACTTATCATGAGGATACCTCTTGGCGAGTTGTGGGGATTTGGGTCATCTCTACCTTGGTTTGTTGTCCATCCTGGAGGCTGCAATCAATGATCTTCATCAGCAAGTACTTCAAGTTCCTCTCGCTTGCTGATAAAGTCTAGTGAAATGACTTCATTACAGTAAGCATGAAGATGGCTTAGAACCACGCCATGTTTCATTCTGTTGAACTCAAAGACTCTGTAAGTCAGGGCCAGCTTTAGGAAACAAATACAAAAATTAATAGGAAAGGTGACTTGTGTACAGGGTTCTTTTCTCATTGAGAATTTGAACTCATGCTTCCTGCTAATTTCCCTTTGTCTCCGATTTACCATTAGGTTGGCTTTACTTTTACGGTGTTTCTTTTGTGAGTAGATCTCTCAATTGAAAAGGATGGCAGCCCATGCACTGTGGTAGTTGACGGTGGGTAAACATGAATTGGTCAGCAAACATACCCAACTCAGTTTTCTCACTGGTCTTGTTTATCCCAGGTCTCTACTCCTTGACCACGCTGCCATCGGTGTTTGCTATCTCTGTCCTACTTTTTCCCCCAGTAGATAAATTTCACGTGCCAATTCTCTATTCCCCTTTGCATCTATGGTTGGCACACAATAGACATGATTACAAATCCAAGAAAGCTGTAATAAACAATCTAAACCCTCCATGAGCCATCTGAATATTTTTTCAACATGATCTAATTAAAGTCACTCTGAAAATAGATAACTTTTGTCAATCATGGGCCCACAGTAGTTGTATGTAATGAGGATACAACGGTGGATCAAATGGATGTGGCCTCTAGCTACAAGGGGTTTATCATAGAAAATTCAAACTCTCACTGACTTAGTACTGTCTCAAACCCAGCTAGCCTGGATAAATGGTTATAACTGATATAGGAAAATAATTTGTTATGAAATTTCTGTGAAGGAGAAATATTATTAGGAATCAAGATGACTTCTTGAAAAAATGATTTAAATTACAGCCTTAGAGATAAATAAATTACTTGCATAGGGTAGGTCTGTGCACTAGGCTTTGGGCTTATCACAAGGTTGGTGGTTGAAACCTACCGGCCACTCCACAGAAGACAGATGAGGCTGTCTGCTTCCATAAAGATTTAGTCTTAGAAGCCCTTTGTAGGATTGCTCTGTGTCAGAACTGGCTCCATGACAGTGGGTTGGGGACCTGCATATGGGAAAGAGGGAAATCATTTTATGTGGCGGTACATTAATGGTAGAGGAAGAAATGGAAGAGACTAAACATGAGAGTATTTGCAAAAGAAGTCCAGAAAGACTGGACCACAGTGGGGAAAGAGGGCAAGATGATGGTAGCTGAGGCTTGGCATTTAAAGTCACATAGGGCCCTCCCTGTATAGTTTGTATAATGCCTTTTATATGCCATGGAGTCCTGGTGGTGTACTGTTTACATGTTGGGCTGCTAACCATCAGGTCAGCAGTTCAAAACCACCAGCTGCTGTGTGGTAGAAAGACAGCCTTCTTTACAGGGCTCTCTCTCGATAGTCACAGTCTCAGAAACTCACAGGGCGGCAGCTCTACTCTGTCCTATGGGGTCACTATGAGTCATCATCGACTTGATGGCAGTGACTTTGGTTCTGGGTTTATAAACCTCATCTAATGGATTGAAGCTAATTGCATACTTTCTTTGTGTTTCCTTTGTCTAAAATCTATCTTTTCCTCTCTGATGAGTCCCTTGAGCGCAGAGGCCAGGCAGGTCATGTCCACCCTGTTCCTATAGTCTCTGGTTAAGGACCTAGGCCCCAATGTATGCTTATTAATTATGTCTAGAATCAACACAACAACCCCTTAGGGTTAATTTTTGTATTAGTCTGGGTACATTAGAGAAACAAATTCACAGAAACTCATATGTATAAGAGAGAGTTTTATAGTTACATCAACCCAGGGCACTGAGGAGACAATCATCATTCCAGTTGGAACCTTGTGAAGTCTGCATCCATAAGCAAAGTCAAATCCAGATAGGCCAACCATAAAGTTAACAATATGCAGCAGTTCACAGGCTCAAAAATCTCATCATCTGGTCGGGTTCTGGTCAGCCCAATGTAGGCTGCCTCACTCAGCCTCCTCAGGGTGCCCATTGGTCACCTTGCCTTTAGACCATGGGCTCTCAGCAATACTCAACAAGCCTAGCCCCCTCGTGCTAGCTCATGAACTTTAGACCAGTCAACCCACTCTCGTCTCC